CGGAGTGAACAGCCCTTGTAAAGGATAGTATTACCTACCTGTTAGCTCATAGCATGATCCTTAAGAGCCTGGGCTGGTCTGATATTGAAAGACCAAGGAACTATGAGTGAGAAGAAACAGTCCCAGTGAATAAATGGCATATAGAAGGAACCCTGTTACTGCATCTTTAAGGGCCCAGGATCAGGAGCCTTGCACAGTGACTGGGGCAAAGTTCCCTTCTCCCCGCCAACTGTAGTAAGCATTGGGACAGGAAACCTGCATATACACCGCCCCCTCCTTCAGAGGAGACATGAGCAGGAGAGAGCTGATCTGTTGAATTTTCAAAAAGCTGCAGGACTAGCAGGGAGAAAGGGCCCAGCTGTAGGCAAAGCTCTGCAGCCAGTCTAAGCCACAGCCTCCCCATCTCCTCCACAGAGGAGAACTGGGGGCCACGGTAGCTGACAGAACCACAGCGCCAGAGGAGAGTTAAAGGAAACTCCTGCCTTAAAGAAGCAAACCAGACAGTTGGGAATTAGGCAACTGGACATCCCATTATTACAGGTTTTGTCTTACACAGGCAACTATATGCCCTTCCTCTACAAACAATAAAAAAGTGACCCAAATTTTCACACTTATTTGGTCACTATTCAGAATATAGGCCAGTGAGTACCAGGGAACCCAGTGAGAGATGGGGCTCTCAGTAACAAACTATGAAAAGGTACCCCTGAAACAAGGACCATGGGAGGAAAGACCTTAGGGCTACATCTACACTGGCCCCAAATTCCGGAAAAGGGATGCAAAGCAGGTAAGTCAGAAAAGGGAAATCCGCGGGGGATTTAAATATCCCCCGCGGATTTAAATAAACATGTCCGCCGCTTTTTTTCCGGCTTGGGGAAAAGCCGGAAAAAAGCATCTAGACTGGCACGATCCTCCGGAATAAAGCCCTTTTCCGGAAGATCTCTTATTCCTACCTGAAAGTAGGAATAAGAGAACTTCCGGAAAAGGGCTTTATTCCGGAGGATCGTGCCAGTCTAGATGCTTTTTTCCCGGCTTTTCCCCAAGCCGGAAAAAAAGAGGCGGACATGTTTATTTAAATCCGCAGGGGATATTTAAATCCGCGGGGGATATTTAAATCCCCCGCGGATTTCCCTATTCTGACTTACCTGCTTTGCACCCCTTTTACGGAATTTGGGGCCAGTGTAGACGTAGCCCAGGGGTGAACCAGTGGAACAGACTCCAGGAATAGCACAGTGGGAAGCAGGCCAGCAGCAAAGGGTGGGAGACTCATGACTGTCATTTTTATGTGGAACTCGGAGTGGGTGGGCCTGGATTCCTCTACCAATGGGGCTCCTTAAGTGTGCAACTGGGCCTGTCATGGAGCTGTTACACCCATCGCCCATTGAGGGCAGGGGGAGAGATGTGTTACAGCCCCACTGTTGAGTCTCTAGGGTGCGGCTCTGTGGCCTTGGTCAGCATCCCAGCTCTTAGTAGCAGAGCAGTAAGTCCAAAGTCAGTAACGCAGCTCTTAACTATCAGGACAATGCAGCCTAGTGGCCAGAGTCAGTAGCATGGTGGGGTCCAGAGTAGTATCAGGACATGGGGTCCCAGGCCCGCCCTCTCCTCCAGTTCGCAGACCAGAGCCCTGGTGGTAGTGGAGTTGCCTGCCTCCAGCTTGGCAAGGATCCCACTGAAACACGCTGAGCCCATTTATGGTTCTACAACTGCTTCTCCACAAATTTTCCCTGGGTCACTTCGTACCCTATTCTTTACAATTTTTTGTCTCTTGGTGTTCGTCTAGACTACATTGCTCTTTCGAAAGGGATGTAAATGAGTCTGATCGAAAGTGCAAATGGAGCACGGATTTAAATATCCCACGCTTCATTTGCATATTCGCGTCAGATAGCTGTTTCAAAAAAGGGAATTTCGAAAGTGAAATCGCAATCTAGATGTAGTTCTTTCAAAAAAAAAAAAAAAATCTCCTTTTTCAAAAGAACCCATACTCCTGAAAAAATGGGGAATACGGGTTCTTTCAAAAATAGGGTTTTTTCCCCGAAAGAACCGCATCTAGACTGTGGTTTCACTTTTGAAATACCCTTTTTTTGAAACAGCAATCTGATGTGAATATGCAAATGAAGCGTGGGATATTTAAATCCACCCTTCATTTGCACTTCGATTGGGCTCATTTACATCCCTCTTTCGAAAGAGCAATGTAGTCTAGACACATCCTTGGTCTCCACAGTCTCTCCCTTCTCAGCAGTCTCAAGCCTGTCTGTCAGGGTCCATCTCCATCTCACTGGCCTCTGGGTCTTGGCATGCAGGCCATCCTAAGTCAGGAGCACATCTCCTTCCCCACCAACAGTCAGTCCAGACTGAGCTGCTCTGCTGCCTTTTACTTACTGTCTCCAGCTGCAGCATGGCCAGCAAAGACAAGGATTAACCACTTCTGTACCAGGGCTGAAGCACCCTGTCAAAGGGCCACACGCAAGGAGGCCAGGGTTCTCATGCCCTCAGGCTAGGGTAACTGATCTCCTGAAACATTAGACTTTGTAGCGTTCTGAAAGGGAAAAGGACTACCAATCTAGATGGAGGGCTGAGGTTATAACTGGAGGGACAATAAGTCATCTCAAAAGCTAGGCTTGCTTGGTTTTGTCACAAAGGGACACCAGAGATTGAAGCTGACCAATTAACACAAAAAAGGAAACCATGTATATTAGAAAAAAATCGAATTCCCTGGTTTTCTGTTAATGAAAACTAAGATGACTTAGAATCTTAAATGCAGGCAATTAGTAGGAATAAAATATTAAAACCCAGCTACTTTCCAAATGAACCAGTATTTGGCAGAAAGATCATTAATCTGTAAGAAATGCTTTCAGAATGTGCATCAAAGATGTTTAGTATTATTGTTCTCCCCTCAGGATTGCAGTTTGGCTACACATTTTACTGTCAGCACAAAGAACTTTCATCATAAATGTTTGTGTGCATGTACGCACGGTCTCTTCTTCTAATAAGGAAACATGCCAGTTCCACAAAATCTCAATGGTTAAACTGTAGAAAAAAGAACAAAGACCTGTATTTTCTGGGAATTTTTCTGTATCTGCCTCTCCCACTCCTGTAATTAGTTTGCAGGCTAATTCTGTTTACTTTAGTTCTGTGAGTATCCCAGGGAACTCAAAGGAGATTGTATGCGGGTAACGGGACTGGATCCTAATAGTGCAATTTTACTTGGTTTGATTTGAATATAGTAGTGTTTCACAATGTCCAGCCCTTACATAGCAGTTTTCTAGGGATGTCAATGTGTAGTCACATACACGATACGCCTGGGCTTACTGGTTGATCTTGTTCACTACACACACTGCATCAGAGGCAGCGGGGGCGGGGAGAGCAGGAGCTGGTGCCTGCAAGAAGCTGGTTTTAAGCAGGCTCCCCACAAGCACCGGATCCTCCTGCTCTCACATCCTGTGCTGCTGCCTTTGACAGAGGCAGCAGCGCAGAGAGTGAGGGAAGCAGACTGGTGCTGATACCTGCAGGAAGCTGGCTTTCAAGCAGGCTTCTCTCATGTGCTGGCTCAGCAGACTCACCTGCCTCTACATTGCTGCCTCCTACAGAGGCGGGGAGGGGAGGGAGTAGCTGGTGCTGGGGGGGAGCCAGCTTAAAAGCTAGTTCTTCCCAAGCACCAGCTCCCCCTGCACGCTGCTGTCTTATGACAGGCAGCAGCACTGGGGAGGGGAGGGAATGGGAGGCTGCTGCAAAGCAGCCTCTGTCCATGGTGGCCAGGGCTCACCGCAAACAGTAGCTGCTGCCACCCCACACTACTGTCTCTGTATCAGAGGCAGCACCATGGAGCAGCAGGCAGCCGGTTTGCGCGGGGAGCTGTTTTTTGAACTGGCTCCCCTGGCAAACCGGTTTCCACTTGGCACCCCACACTACTGCCTCTGATACACTAACATTTCATGCGGTTACATGACCATTCAATTACACAATATCTAACACCCCTACATTTTTCACCAGTCAATTTTAAAGCATTGCACAAATTCTCTATCTGTATTGTTCTCTCCATTGTACAGATAGAGAAGCTAAGGCATTTTTCTCCTGTACCTCATCCGAGGTCATAATCGTTATTGGTTTAATGAAATGAGGCCCCACATTCCATACAACAGCCGTTCTTTGTTTGGAATCAATACAAGAATTTTTAAATGCTGTGGCCAGCC